TGCTTCATGTTTTGTGGCTTTTTCAAAGCCATAATTATTTGGCATAAGAAGGGGCACGGGTGAAGAGAGAGTTGTAGAGGGATGAAGAGATGTAAAGCATCCAAAGAGATGGTGAGAGCATTTGACTCTACCATGGGTAAGAGTGAGAGAAATCAAGAGAGCTAGAGTGAAAGATCTCTTGTGAAAGAACTCTTGGGGTAGAGTGAGGCTCTTGGGAAAATTCTGTGAGTGGGTGTACAAGGGATATGGGATTGGGTTATGTCGATTTAACTCATGTGTAACTTGTACTGTTTTTCTCATAGTGAAGAGCAATATCTCTCCGAGGACGTAGGCAGGTTTTTGCCGAACCTCGTAAATTTCTCAGTGTCTTTATTTCTTGTATTTTATTTTGTTCAACTGTGTGTGATTTTGGTGAGGTTGTAATCTGAATCTCGGTTCCGCACTAACGAACGGGCCAAGGCACAACAATTGGTATCAGAGCATCGTTGGGGGCTTTGGTTCGTGGGAGGTCCAGATTTGTTGTTCAACATGGAATTTTCAGTTGAGCAGTTTAAAGGGAGAGACGATTTTGCTCTTGGTAAAGGAGAGTAATGGAAGCCTGAAGAAATGGAAGCCGTGTTTAGGGATACTTGGATCAACTGCGAAATTTGATGTTGAGGAAGAAGACAAAGGCCTCTTTCTTCTTACCTCACTTTCAGATTTGTACAAGAACCTTGTGAAACTTTACTGCAAGGAAAGAAACAGTAAGTTTGGAGCAGGTGCAAGCTTCTTTGGTGTGGAATGATACACACAAGAGACCATGGATGATGGTGGGCACAAGACTGCTTAAGCTATTCAAGGTTGAAATTGTGGAAGAAAATTGGAAAGAGGATCTGAGAGAGACAGCAGGTTCGGATCCGGTTCCGGAGGCAAGGGTCCACAGTGCTACGGGTGCAAGGCCGGGTTAGCAAGTTTGTGGTGGAAGACTTTGAGTATGCCCTCTAGGTACTCGAAGCAACACTTCTCCTGGTGATGTTTAGTCTCAAGGTGGGTATGCCCTCTAGGTACTCGAAGCAACACTTCTCCAGGTGGAGCTATGGGATTCACAGGTGATAAGAAGGTCCTGAGGTAGGAGGAAGTGTGGGAATTTTGTCTGGCTAGATGGGTTGTTGCTGGAAATAGACGCGCTGACGAGTTTCCAGGTTGCAGACAATGAAGAGGAGGAAAACCTGCTGGAGGAGACGAGGATGTGTTGAGATTCTGTCTGAAGCTAAATGATGATTTTTAGCTTGCAGCAGCTGCACATGCATTGGCAGTAACTGAATCGGAACAGGACCAACGAGGTGGATTCAGAGTGTGCATGCTGGTACGTAAGGCCAATGGACTTTGGTACAATTTGGCCAAGGTGGAGATTGTTGGATAGTGGCCAAATTAGGCTAGGAAACAAAACAATAGTGATGAGGGAACATCATGATGAGGATTATGTTTCCTTGTTTTGTGGCTTGTTTTGTGGCTTAAATTGCTTCATGTTTTGTGGCTTTTTCAAAGCCATAATTATTTGGCATAAGAAGGGGCACGGGTGAAGAGAGAGTTGTAGAGGGATGAAGAGATGTAAAGCATCCAAAGAGATGGTGAGAGCATTTGGCTCTACCATGGGTAAGGGTGAGAGAAATCAAGAGAGCTAGAGTGAAAGATCTCTTGTGAAAGAACTCTTGGGGTAGAGTGAGGCTCTTGGGAAAATTCTGTGAGTGGGTGTATAAGGGATATGGGATTGGGTTATGTCGATTTAACTCATGTGTAACTTGTACTGTTTTTCTCATAGTGAAGAGCAATATCTCTCCGAGGACGTAGGCAGGTTTTTGCTGAACCTCGTAAATTTCTCGGTGTCTTTATTTCTTGTATTTTATTTTGTTCAACTCTGTGTGATTTTGGTGAGGTTGTAATCTGAATCTCGGTTCCGCACCAACAAACGGGCCAAGGCACAACATGGAGGATTTGTGGGCTCTTGGATTGTCAAGCTTCTTCTCTCTAGCGATTATCTTGTCCACGGAACCGTCCGAAACCCCCCCAGGTCGTCTACTATAATTTTTTTCTCTGTTACTGCATGCCACTATGATCATCCTTACTGCTTTTGTATACCGGAAATTCTCAGTTCAATTAAATGATGAACATGTCAGCTACATTGTTTTAATATTATTGGTAAGGCACCGATGACGTATTGCCACGTTTTGTTGTAGTGATATTGTTGATAATGCAATGATAACATGTTGGTACATTTTGTTGACTACTAGAACGATCGATGTAGTATCAGTTGCATACTGACGGTATTAAAAAACAGACTGTGAGGCTGGCTACAAAACATCGGCACGAAATCGATGACTTTGGACAATTAGTTCCGATGGAGCATAATTCATGTTCAAAATGGTTCATACATGTTATATTACTGAAAATTAATAAACTCGTACAGATGTTAATTGTTTTCATTTTACGACTAATTAATGCAGGGGATAGCAAGTATGCTCACTTGAGCAAGCTTGAGAAAGCATCAGAGAATCTGAAACTGTTCAAGGCAGATTTGCTGGACTACAATTCACTATGTTCAGCAGTTGCAGGATGCAGCGGAGTTTTCCATGTTGCCAGCCCTGTAATTCCTAGTGCTAGTGTAACAAATCCTCAGGCAAGAGTACCTAATTCACTGATACAAGAGTGATCAAATAAAAACAGAACAGAAGGAACTATCCCATGTGAAGGGATAAAGGACTAGCTAGGACTCCGTAATACAATTAACAAATTGTTATATACGTCAATCACATTTCACAGTATATCATTGCGCGGTGCAATTGCGGGTAGAGTTGATTGAACCAGCTGTAAAGGGAACGCTGAATGTCCTGAGTGCTTGCCTAGAAGCCAAAGTGAAACGAGTTGTTGTTGTGTCCTCTATATCCGCTCTTTTTGTGAGCCCGGACTGGCCTAAGGGTCAAGTCAAGGACGAGACTTGTTGGTCTGTTCCCGAATATATGAAAGCAACCAAGGTAATTAGTCTACTCTTAATTAGTGAGCAATGAAATAGTACCATATTCAGCAGCACGTCAAAGTAATACATCAGTTACAATGTTGCACTACCATTATTAATAAGTCAGTTTTGAGTGTAATTTTGGGAAGCAGGATATTTTATTTTTATTTTTAAGCTGAGCATAAATATGATTTTTATCATTGATTATCTGGTATAGAAATGGTATTTTCTTTCAAAAACGTTAGCAGAACGGGAGGCTTTGGAGTTTGGGAAAAGAACTGGACTTGAAATCATAACTGTTTTACCTTCTCTTAATTTGGGGCCGATTTCTAGCAAAGGTTCTTAAAGGTAATACCTACTTTAATTTATTTTCCACACCGTATATGTACACATTTCTTTAGAATTGAATATGACCGGGAAGTCTATCGAACTCATTTTTGCCAATATTAGTGATCCCTACTGTTAGATTGAATGCTTATTATTAACTGAGGTTAAGAGGGTATATATGTTTCTTATTTGTGCAATGTGGCTATGTACCTAGGCGGGTTTGAGTCAATTGAATACAATTATCGGACGGTGGTGGATGTTCGTGATGTAGCTGAAGCAGTGCTTCTTGTATACAAGAAATCTGAGGCTGGTGAACGATACATATGCACAGCATATGCCATTGGAATTAAGGATTTAGTGGACAACTACTGAGGGTTGCATATCCTAACTACAATTATCCCCACGAGTAAGTTTATCATTTCGGTGATTGAATTCGTTCAAGTGTTTGTGAATGCGCCTCTATTAGGATTCATGTTGAGATGTTTAGTGTTTTATGGCAGCCTTAGCCACACAGAAGAAGAAGAAAAAAACGTGAGCTCGGATAAATTGCAGAGGTTGTGTCACATCCCAGCCCGGGGCGAATCACTTCCCGGGCCCGCTCCACCACCGTAGCATGATATTGTCAGCTTTGGGCTTACCATTCCCTCACGGTTTTGTTTTTGGGAACTCACGAGCAACTTCCCAGTGGGTCACCCATCATGAGATTGCTCTAGCCCCCTTCTCGCTTAACTTCGGAGTTCCTACGGAACCCGAAGCCAGTGAGCTCCCAAAAAGCCTCGTGCTAGGTAGGGATGGGAATATACATTTAAGGATCACTCCCCTGGGCGATGTGGGATGTTACAGGTTGGGTTGGAGTTACCGGCCACTGAAGGATACTCTTATTGATTCCATTGAAAGATACCGGAAGGCTAGGGTCTTGGATTAGAGAAATGAACAAGCCCCTTTAATAATATATATGTCTGGTTCGGGATCAACGAATAATTTCCCTTTGATGATTGCCCATCCTATTTTAAAATTCTAGATCCGTCATTGTCTCATGCATAAGCATTTTAAAGATGAATTTAAAGTTTGGGAAAAATAGACAAGTCCCACAATCAATAATAGAACCTACATCTGTTAAACTCATACTATTAAAACAATAGTGCTTTAAAAGTCAAACTCAAACGGTCTCATTCTTATATAGAGTATGGTATAGTTGTAAGCGATTCAAAATAAATTGAATGAAGTTTGATTATGTTTAAAGTTTTTCTAACTTAATAGTCTTGAATTCTTTCTTATACGAATCAAGCTCGAGTGAGCTTAAAAATGTCGCCCAAACTGTTTCGAGCTAACTTACAGCCCTAGGAATACAAATTGATTGGGTTTATTATTCAGATGGTTTTTGCTGAATATAATGATGTTTGACTTGAGAAGAGGAGAATACAAGAGTAGGCATTCTACTGCGTGCGGGCAAGTCTCTAATATGTTCATGGATTCCATGAAAAAAAATGAAAAAGCCAAGCCGACATCCGTGTTAGTTCCGCGTAGGCATTCATTCTTTTACGTGCAGGCAAATAGAAATGAAACAAACGTTGACGAGGACTTGTGTCTCTTTTGTTGTTTTGTGTGGAAAATAAGAAATGATGACGCTTTCCCTTTTCCTTATCTTTGTGAATCCGTCCTTCTCCATGCTTTTCATCTATTTCTTGCTGTCAATTTCTCCGCTACTACTAGTCTGTTTACTAGTGCTAAGTTTTACCATCACCATCCACCAACCCCTCTCTCTCTCTCTCTCGAGTCCCCAGCCAGCCAGCCAGCCTATCCCCACCACTTCCACCGGCCTAGGTCGTCCTTCTCTTGGCCCATCTGCTGCTCTTGCTGCTGGGGCCTTCTTTCTTTCTTTCTTTTTATCTTTTCCATTTTCTCTCCATTTTTTTTTCTTCCAAAACTCCTTCTTATTAAGCCTAATTAAGCTTTATTGGGGTGCTGGGTTGTGTTGGGGTTTAATCACCTTTATTCATTCTTTCCTACCAAAATTGACCACCCGAGATTCCCCCAACCTCACTACAAAATTCAATGGTATATGCATCTCCACCACATCTCAAGCTAGGGTTTTTTTATTTCTAGGTTTTTTCTTTCTTTTCATTATCTTTCTATTTCGGGTTAGTACTACTGTTTGTACATTGAATTGAATTGAATTGAATAATTTGTGATTGATTGATGGCGTATCAGAGTTCTGGGTCGAGTTCTAGTCCCTCTGGATTCCAATTCCCCAATTCCAGTTCCCCTTTTGGTGACACCACCTACACCAAGGTCTTTGTTGGGGGGCTCGCCTGGGAGACGCACAGCGACACCATGCGCCGCCATTTCGATCAGTTCGGCCAGATTCTCGAGGCCGTCGTTATTATTGATAAGAACTCCGGCCGATCCAAAGGTTATGGCTTTGTGAGTATTTCTTCTTTTCACTTTATGCCAGTTTGTTTTGCAAATAAAGAATCAATGGCAGTGGGATTGTTCTGTCTCACTCACAACTTTTAGAATGACTTGGTTTCTGTTTGTATTTACATGGAGGGTTCAGGTGACTTTCCGCGAACCAGAGGCCGCTGCTCGGGCCTGTGCTGATCCAACTCCAATTATCGATGGCAGGCGCGCTAATTGTAATTTGGCTTCACTCCGGCAGTCCAGGCCACCTTTGCCTTATGGTATAGTTTCTTATGCTCTTGGTTTGATAACTAACAATTTAGTCCTGCTTTGTAGTTTCCAGTTTCATGCTCAATTGCAACTAGTTCATTGTTTTCTGGTTATGTTTGTGTTTGTGCTATCAATTTCTTTTATTAGGTTCCAACGTTTTATTGACTTTGTTTTAAACACAGCAATTATATATATGGATTTGAAGAAAAAAAAGAACTAAGATCTTCATTGGTTTCCATCACATTTTCATGTTAACCTTTCAAAGTACCAAAATCTACATGTATTGTTTTTACTATAGCAAACAAACACATTACGCATGATATTTTTTTTACTTGCAGGACGTCCAAGACCAGCTTCTCCATACATTGGAGGCGTGCCAGCTACCCGTGGGGCTTACATTGGAGGATATGGCTACCAGCAGCCTCTTTCTTACAACTATCAACAAGGATTAGTTTATCCTCCATATGGGTGAGTCGTGCATTTATAGGATTAGGTGATAGCCATCGAGTTAATTGTACTTGTGTAATATTTGCTGAGCATCCACTTGTGTTGTATATAAGTTGTCAACGTTTGATATTTGATTTGGTTAACCATGGATCGGTGACATCTCAGTAAACAACTTAGTTCTCTTCCATTGTTTCTTGTGTAGTGCATGCGATTCAAAATATGCAATGCCATGTAGATTTCCAAAATCAGGTTTCTTCGTCATTTCCCTTGGTATTCAGGGTTCATTTTGTCTGGACTATGATGATGTGACATGGCATGATTGGTAATTGCAGGAGACGAAAAAGTGATAGTTGCAGAGGATATGTGCCCAGATCAATGTTTATTGAACAGGCAAGACTTAGGACTAGTGTTTTTTATTGAGGACCAACAATTGGGTTTTCTAGTCTCACCATTATTGATTGATCTCATACTTGAGATTTCTCATTCAAGTGTAGGAGCACTTCAGCCTTAGTTTAGTTCAACACCTTGGTTCTTGCATTGTAAGGGATTAGTTTTGGTGTCTTGTGTTGTATATTTACATGCATTGCATTGTTTGTAATTGTATTTTCATGATGTACATTAACTCTTCCAAATTGTCTACAGAAATTATTATATCAGCAGTTGTAATGGTTGTCTTATCCGTGCAGGTATGCAACATATGGACCTGACTACACTTATTCACAGGTCAGTAATGCTATTAAATGGCAGCATGAGGTGGATGTCTTTCTTTTCGGTTTATGAGTGAAGATATTATGTTGCTTTATTCTGACTTGCTTCCTCACTTTGCGTGCCATTTCTTTGGTAGGGTTTATACAACCCTTATGTGGGTCAGCAATATCTTCAAATATACGGACTTCCAGGGACAGCTAATACTTCTCCTTATCCTTATGAACAACTGGGTCAAACCATTCCTGGTGGTCAGGGTTATCCAACAGTTCATGGATATGCAATGCCTGCTCAGCAGATAATCCAGTTTGGTGCACCCAGTGTTAATGCAGTCACAACTTCCCCAGTCCCTCAAGTTCAAGCAGCATATCCTACGGGTACATCTCTCTGTCCTGAAACTATTGTTCTTTTGTTTTTTCTTCACACTCTGGTGTCCCCCTTTCTAGGGGATAAATTATGATTGTTCATCTTTCAGTATAAATTAGTGAAGCTGTACCACTAAACATGCAACTCATCAAACTCATAATTTATGTGAAATCAACACAACCTGGGGCTTGACCACTGTCTTGATCAAATTATTACTACCTATGAGGATGTGAGATCATGATAAATTTTAGTCCTTTATAATGCACATTTTTTGCTTAGAAGGCTCACCCCCTGTTGATATAGTGAATAGTATGCATGTGATTTGTTTAATTAATAAAGAATTATTTTTAACACAGATTTGCTCAAAGTCTTTGATTTCTATCTTTCAATTCTATAAAATACAAAGAACTTTTTTTTTTTTTGACAAAGAACAGACACGTACCTAATATGACAAGCATTCTTCAGAGTCTCATGATGGAGACGTAATGACAATTTGATAGATTTTTCATCTAGATCGATGTACCATGGAGTATATAGATAAGACTTAATCGACAAAATTCTGTGTTTTTTAATCAGGTATGGTAGCAAGTGTTGTGGCACAACCACATTTTATATTATCTGCTCCTCCTCAATATATGCAGGGTAGTGGTTCTGAGCAAAGAGCTGGGTGAGGGGTTGATTAAGGTTAGTGCCACATCATAGAATAGATTACGGTGTGCTTTGCAGTCCTATACCTATTCTTTGAGAAAATAGAAAAGAAAAAAGGGACACATCCGCCACTAGGTTCGTGTTGAGATTCTTTATTTACTCTTTGCAGGTATCCTTAGATTGCAGCAGGACTAAAAGAAGCAAAACTGCTAATTAAGCGGCAGGCTTCAGGTCGAGCCTTGGAAATTTTATTTTGCATTCTAGAGGTAAAGATATTTGGTCATTCTATGTACATATGCAAGATTTACCTATAGGACTGCAAGTTCTGATTATACAAACCTTTTCTTCCGGCAAAAGATATGCAAAATGAATAATATTATTCTCAGCAGGCCCTTGATAGCTAACTGATGATAATGTGGTTGCATATATCATTATCATTTAAAGTTGCAAATGGTTCTATATGAGGCTGTGGCAACAAAGTGTGAGAATACATTTTTCTCAGAAACTATGATGCATTTGTTCTGTTTGTCTTTGTTGGACGTCCGCGTGCAAATTAGTTTAATGGGATGATTTACTAGATTGCTGTTTTCATTAACCTGTAGCAGTTCATTCCAATATTCATTTGTGATTTTCCATCGCCATTAGTAGCACTCCGATTCTTCACCTAATAAACTTTACGTTGTAGTGCTTACTCAATAATTACGTAAGGGAGAGTGGTTCTTCTTGGCACATTTTGTTTGCATACTGGATTAAATTACCAATACCTTAAGCCTCATTCGGTTTAGAAGATGGGATTGGAATGGATAAATCACAATTTTCAAGTATGTTGAGGAAGAAATGAAAAAATTGTGACCGATGTGGTAGAAAACTTATCCACTCCAATCCTCCTCAAAATGGTAGGATTAGAAGGGAGAAGCTTTCTACATGTCTAATCTCATTCTAATCCCCTGAAAGTGAAAAATCGTTCTCCTCTACCTTCGCTATAACTTGTATTTAGAGGGTTCCATTCCAATCCAATCCAAGATACCAAACAAGGCCTAAAAGAATATATAGCTGGACTTGTTTTTGTTGGTTTCATTTTGTGTTGATCTGGATGTGCTTTCAGTCTAGTTATGATTTTATGATTTAAGGCTTGGCATCCCAAAGTCTTTGTTTCTGGATTTATGCCCTCTGTCTTATACATACATTTTTTTCGCAGGTCATACATAGTCATGGTCACCAGAGAGGTCAGATGTCAGTGTCACTCCAGATGGCATAGAAGGATGGAGGATGCCAGCTGCTCTTCCCTCCCAGTGCGACATTAATCCTCGGTGCATCTAAACCCGTGTTACTCAGGAAAAGTGGCAGGTTGTCATGGATTGGTGGGTGCTAGAAGCAGGTTTCTAGCAGCCAGATAGGACTAAAACAAGTCTGAAAAAACATGTTAGAATCAACGTATGATTCTTTTATAGTCTGCCTTGTCCCGGCATTTTGGGTGTATAGTCTGGTGTCACGTGTTGGTGGGCGGCCCATCACACGCGTAATGTCATTCAGGTATTTGTGCATACTAGTTATAGGATTTTCATTCAACTCGGAAAATCCTGTGATATAGAGAGTTAAGAGTGCCTGGCTTCAGAAGGGGAGAAGCTTCAGGCATGTTCTGTTTATTTGGAAAGAAAAATTTTTGGGTGTATTATACATATATGGTAAAACAGTGCCTCGCCTATTGATCCTTATGATTTGAAGGATATGCTTGTTTGTATATCATTTGAAAGATTGCTCGTTATGTTATAGATAAAAAGGGTGATCATGGTCACTCGATCCAGAGTTCACAAATCATGCAACACGATGTTTGACTCGTCCCAAAAACAGTGTGACATGGTCCTCTTTGCCAAAATGATGGGAAAAAAATTGGAGGAACTATCCACGGAGTGAAATCAAGACCCATTGCCCACACATAAAGGATTCATAACCACAAAATTGAAGAGAGAAATTAGAAACAAAGGCACAGAAGCTGTTAATAAATGTCTCTAGAAGTCCCCAAACCAAACTCTCACCGGCACGCTCCTGAAAACGTTGCACACATTCCTCACAATCTCAACTCCATCGATGCTCTACACTCGAAGGGGCCTTACCACCGCGAAGGACGGCAGATTTCTCATTTATTCAACTGTAATCCCTGAATCCCTCCATCAAATTTCTTCATGAGACCTAGGGTTTGATCAATTACTCCCCCTCCGTGCTCAACAAGTTTCTGAGGTGGGAGGACAAGGGCGGTGAGGCTGCCTCTCTGGGCACTGAAGCCCTTGCATGTTCTCTCAAGGACTCTTCCATTCCCATCAAGGAGAGCCACCAAGAAGAGTGTGCCCCATGGTTGCAAGTCTGTTTGTGGCATTGCCTGCTTTGCTTCTAAAAAGGTATGTCATTCGGCTGTCTTTGCGTTCCCTGAATTCAACTTGGGCACTCTTTTCTGGTAAAGAAACTTGGGCACTCACCATTTGTCTAATTCGTATAAATAAATAAATAAATATATATATATATATATATATGTGTGTGTGTGTGTGTGTGTGTGTGTGTGTGTGACAATTTACAATACTCGTCAGTTACTGCATGCATAACATTCTTATTTGTGGCTCCTGCGACTGACCTTGTCACTCCTTGTTGGGACCAGTACGGCACGACTCCATGTTCAAGCTGCTATTTTCGTGGGAATTATCAGATTGGTGGCACTTCTTCAGATTTCAGGACGGTGAATCGATGAAGAGATGGGAGGACAATCCTATAAATTTACGTTCTGAGGAGACAATTGTATGACCATCAAACTCTTAAGTTGAATAATGACTTGTTTTCTTTTGCAGAAGCTGATGCTCCATTGGATGCAGACAACAAACTAGACGTGCAGGGAGGGGCTTTCGTTGATACAAATTTACAGCTTGAGAAGGAAGGAATGAATGTCGAGAGAGCAATTTCTGGGATTACAGAGGTACAGGTATGTGAAATACTGGGTTATTGTCTGTGATCTTATAAAGTTGTATAGTATGTCCTAACCATCACAAGTTTTGCAGATGAAAGAGATTCAACAGAAGATTGTTTGCTTCGAGGTGTTAGAATTACAGATGGAGAAAGAATGGCAGGGGTAAAAGAAAGGAAATAGAACTGATGTACATACAATTCTTCCCAAACATCCACCAAATTAGTTACTCTGATTTTTTTATTCCATTTGAAATTAATGATTCGAAAATTAGAGACCGGTTTAACTTCAATATTTAAAAAATCCTTGGATTTACAATGGAATGAATGCTGCTGCAATGACTATCTGCGTTTCTTGCACAGGTTAACAATCTCTTTGGCAGCTATTTCGTTGGATTACCGCAAAATACCGAGTGTACTGACTCAATCAAAATCGGCGTAAAACTGTCTGGAGCCCTCAAATGAACCTGAAGGATTTGACAGCCTGCAAAACCAAATACAGCTTTCGCACTTGCAGTAAACGAAACGGGATTCAGTTTTGTGCACCATCCTATCTAGATTGTCTAATTTAAGCGTCGAATTTGAAGCTCACCTCCTTAACATTGGAACTGTATTTATCTGATTCCTCCTCCAAGTACTGCACAAAGATATCGCAGTATTTGGCATGAGAAATAAAGAATCTGGATTCCAGAGCAGAACACACAGTACAACTTAGAAACGAACTTGTCAATGTCGAATAGATACCAGTCCGGTGCTGTATACAGTGTTGTACCAGCCGTTGGTTGCCATCCCAAGTGCTGAAAACAGGTGCTTGCAACTTTTACCGGGTTTTTGTAGCGAATACTCGATGAAGTAATTCGAAATTAAATAAAAAAAAGTACTTCTGAATTGATCTCATCCTTTCTTTAATTTAATAATTTCAGAAGCCCTGACGATCGTCCTTATCGTCATCAAATTCAAGCCGTCATAACTCATGAACAATCCTGAGTTGGTATGTATGACTATGAGTGGAGAATTACCTTTAAATGCTTTGCAATCTATAATTTTTGCTGCCACTCCTGCAGGCCTTTGCCAGCTCGTATCTAATCCACTAACCTTTGAAGTCCCATATGCAATTAAAATTAATGCAAAACTAATGAGTAAATTAACAAAAGCTTCCACTGGCCATGTCAAATATATTTATGCATAAAATGAATCAAAATTAGGAGAAATGAAGGCTGGCTAGTACCAGTCTCTGCAAAAGCTTCTACTTTACCAAAGGATTCCATCTTTGTAAAATCCGGACCAAGCCCCGTGATCACAACGCTAACTGAGGCAGCAGCCCCAGAAAGAATGCCATTCTATACATATGTATGCAACAGAACCGAATAATATCGAATAATCGAAAGCATTGAGACTCAGAATACCCACTTGAGCGATTAACCACTTGTTCTGGGTAGAAGGCAGCGACGGATTTAAACCCAGTTGGCTCTCCTGCGCCTACTTGCCAGTCTCCAAAAGGTAAAAGTACATACCAAACCATTAAGTATATAATCCCCAATGCAAATTTCACCTGGGAATTTAACCAGTATTTATTCACCTTGGAGAATCAATATCTTGAATTTAGTGATATCATCAGTGTAAATTCAAAAACCCTCCGGTATATCTGAATTGATTAAAAATAAAATAAAATAAAATAAATTAAAAAACACTCAAACAAAACATTTTCCTTCGGAATTCAACATATCCAATTCAATACTTTTAAACAATGAAAAATCAAAATGCTCCTATATATATTATGTAAGCTAGAGAGAACAAAATCCTTGGCCACCAAACGACCAAGAGAACGAGACTCTTAAAAAGCAAAATACTAAGAGATGTATAACTAATTATATGTGGAATTACCATTCTCTGCCAATGCATTTTAAATAAGTTGGGGAAAAGAAAATGCAGCAAGCGTCGTCCCAAGCACAACTTGTCTCCTCGTATCTTGGAAATCAATGCCAAAACTAGAAAATAGAACAAATAACGAAGGGCACGACATGCCTTTGAGATTGAATGTGCAGTCTATTCGTACGAGTAAAAGGAGGAAAAGAGGAAAAAATATTCTCTCCTCTTCGTGAATCCCTTCGTGAGAGTTTCACTATATAACAGAAATATAGTTAGAGGGGTATTATTGTAATTGGAATATATGGCTATATAAGGGATTGTATAGCTAGTATAGCTAGTATTTCATTAAGTTCATTTGTATACATTTTCTTCCTTCAATCAATACAATTTCTCTGGTTTTCTTTCTATCATCTTCCTCTTCCTTTCTACCTACTTTATCTTTTGCAATGTAGTTAACATGGTATCAGAGCCACTAGGCTCACGCCATTGATTCCGGTGGTTCCATTTCCTATTAGTTTTCATCTGTATATAGCTTAATTTCCTTCCAAATTTTCATTAGATTTTAGGTGCTTCTGTGATTGTTCATGGGTTCTTTCTCCGTTTCTTGCTTCGAATGCCAGAAATACTTTCGTTCCGGGTTTTCTTAAATCTGATTCTTAGCATGGGCTGAATCCTCAGAGAACAAGATGTTGAGGGTGTTCCGAAATCCGAAAATTTGTCACCAGATACAAATCGGACAGAGTCTTGGTGTCACGTAGCTTGCTCTCGAAATCGGCCGTGGATTGGTCGAGGTCGACGGCCTTGATTGCGACGGTTGCAGAGTTAATGGGGATGCAGAGCTCACGTGAGATCTCACGGACCTCTCGCCATCCATGGTTCATATATAAAATTTCAATTTCTAAAAGACAATGCAGTTGCCGTCGACGCGGTCAAAATCCCTAAAACCTTCTTCACTGATAGAGATGCTGATAAGGGAAGAAGAAGGAGAGAATGAAGTCAAGATCACATCTGGGTTTTTCATCTTCCATGCGTAGTCTGTGATTTCAGAAATAAAGTGATATCTGGGTTTTCGAAATCGTAACGGGTCTTGGAGTCGTAGCATGATCTGAACGCAGTTGGCTAATGGGTTCTTGCCTAATTCAATCCCACGCGTCAATGAAAAATTCAGCAAGGTGATATATTTGGAGTTTGGGCCAAGTCTTTGGGACCAATCTTGAAGACCTTCAAGAAATTCCCAATATTGCAAATGAAAAGCTTGTATCTTTGGATTTAATTTCTGGGTTTCCTGCAACTGATGGAGTTGCCCAAGATTTCATGGGAAATTGCAATCTAAGTTGTTAGTTATTGCTTGTCTACAAATTTGATCAGTGCTCTGCTCTCTGGTGTGGAAGAAAGTTTAGATTTTTTTTTGTGTAGTTCAAGTGTTTGCTGAAATGCCCATCTCAAAAATTTTCATATCTGTATTTGTGATATTGGGGATATTTGGCTTAGTGCTGTGACTACACCTGCTTAGCTTGCTGTTGTGAATTTCTGCGATTCTGTATCTGTTATCTAAGGGGCATTTGGTGATTGAAGAAGGAGTTGTTCTTTGATGAGTGGATGTTCGAAGAGGTGTTCTCCGATCAGGTGATTCATATATCATTTCTTTATTCTACGATAGTTTTGTGGTTTGCAAATTGTGAACTGGTGGTTTGATACTGTAATTCTTGAAGATTTGTGATGAAATTTCTTGCTGTTTCTAGGTATATTGTTGGAATTTCAATAAAGTGTCAATCTCTCAAGGTCTCAGGAGTGTCAATCTCCTTGGTTAATTTTTGGTATCTGGGAAAATTTAGGATGCTATTAGGAGTGTCATTCTCCTTAGTTGATTTAGGTCCTTGGAGTGTCATTCTCCTTGATTAATTTTGGTATCTAGGAAGTTTT